GGTCACGCATGAGTGTGAATTGCCGCCCAAGCATTGTGGAGGTGCTTTGCGTGTTAAAATGAAACTTAGTCCTAGGGCTCCAGTGTATTGCGCTTTTGATAAACGCAGTGCAAATGATTTATTCAGAATAAGCACCTCTTTCAAACAATTCTAGCAAAGCGCAATTGCACGGGCGTGCATTCCAAAATTTTCTCCACTTTGCATAGATTCCTATTGCAGAGAATAAGCTAAAAGGCAAAGAACGCGTAGTTTGCAACGTGTGGATAAGAGGAAGAAAGGAATGACTTTGCCTATCAGTAGAAAGTGGCTGCCCATAAGAGATTATCATTTAACACAGCTTACGTCCGGTGAATGCCAACATCACCTCCAGCCTTTTTTGACCCAAAGGATAACCATTCATGATAGTGATGGCATTCATTGCGCTGTACCGATTGTCAAAGCATACAAACCCTGTCAACCATCACAACAACAAATTAACAAAAGCAGAGTGAGGTACTGAGCTGCGATGCTAGAAGTAGTGGGTCAGGTGCTAACCATAGCTTTCATCCCTATATGGAGGCGCTTCGATGCCGATGTCAACATTCACCACCCTTCCGAATATCGAAAATATAGCCGAAAGGTCCACTCCCCTTGCCTTCGCAGGCAAGTGTAGGACAAGTACGATGCAATGGTCTCGACCACGCAGTACCGTTGGTGGGCCTAAAGGATTTGCAATCCACAGCATAAAAGCAATTTTTCCTCCTTTTTTACCCCGAAAAACTGTGCTAGTGTATGAGTCAAGGGAAAAAATTTGTCATGAAGTCTCACTAATAACTAATTTGATAGACATTGCGATTCAAACAACTACATGGTTGATTTAAAAGATGTCTTTTGCTCCAAAAAATTACCTGTACATCTTGCAAGTTTTACGCTTAATCTTCTTTTGCCCAGCTTCCGACCATGCATGGCCTTGATAGCACATTGAGCGCTCTGTGGATCGGCATAGCGCACAAAACCTAATTACAAAGAAAGCTTGCCTTTTAGAGTAATTGGTACCATAGCCTTTGCTTTTGTTGGCTTCCAGGTCAATGTAAATCTTCACACTAAGCACCCTTCCATAACTACGAAACAAATTGAAGAGCGCTCTTTCACCCAGTTCATCAGGCAGTTTGTTAACATACAAATTGCATGGATCCGCACTTTGTTGCTTTGAACTGCTGCCTATAAAAGGGATTTAGTAAATCATGCATGCCATTGAAGGAGAGGGAAATGGACATAAGGGTGGAAGCATGAAGGACAGACATCATAAACAATGCACAGAAAGGAGTCACCTGTGGTGTCGCTGCTACTGCTCGCGATTGCTAAAGTTGTTAGATCTACATCCTTTGCGTCTAAGGTTTCCTCTTGAGAATCAGTGTCGAGACTTGAGGAGACCTTTTCTGCATCAGCTTTTTCATTCGGTAATTTTTTAGCCACCGCGACGGGATCTTGAGCCGCTTGTGATTTGTCAGTGTAAAGTTGCTGCTGGATAACCCAATCGCAAACACTCATCGGAAATAAAGGCAGGTGGGAGAGGCCCTCTTGAACAGAAGCTTCAGTAACTGTCGCGCCCGAGTGCTTGCTACTGCTTTCGTCCGAAGACGTGCTTCCTTCTGCCATTATAACTGCCCAAACGAGTACTAAATACTCTCGTATTTTTAATTAGGAAAGAAGAGGAACAGTGGCTTAGTGGCAGCTGAGCAGACACTGTAAAGATTAAAAACCAAGACCAGCCTTTGATTAGCTTTAAAAGAGAATACAAATCGTAAGAATGCGACCTGCATTAGTGATGCTCTGGTTCTCAAGGTCTGCGTTAAAACAAGCGCAAACGTCTACGAATCTTGGTCTCCACCTTCCTACTAAAAGCTTCTAAATGTAAAATGCAAGAGAGAATGAGGACAAAGTTGTCAACGTTGTAACTTCAATATCAGCATGATGCAAGAGACTTGATTCCAGTTTAAGAAGTTTGAATTACTCAACTATCCAGTCACATCAAATGACTCGTTGTAATGTACATTGAAGGTAGGCATAAAATAACACCATTATGATCCACAAAGGCTTCAAACGTAAGCGGAGTGAGGTACATATTTAACACATTATTTTACTGTCACATTTACCAACGCCACTGCTTTCAGTTTATGCTCCCAGCTAAGCGCCAGATTCTCTACTCACCTCCGATAACATCCCGACAGAATTTAGACAGGTGCCGCAGCGTTTCACCATAAGTTCTAATTATAGACTATTCCCCCTTCAATATACGGGCAACAATGAATTTCGTACAATATATTTACACAACCCAAATACGACAGTACGCCCATCAGCACAGCGACATTATTATGAAGCATGTCTCAGAAGATGCCACTCTCCTGTCTTTATTCCCAACAATACAGTCATTTTAACACGCAAAGCACCTCCACAATGCTTGGGCGGCAATTCACACTCATGCGTGACC